CTATTTTCATTAGGTTGAATTGAGTTGAAGTTGACCGCGCGGCTATGCTCGGCGCAAGGAGTTTTCGCATGACGGAATGCTTCTAACCACTTGGAGCGCGTGCCAACATTTATCATTGATACGAGTAACGACATCGGACCGATCAAGATTGAAATTGCAACTTTCAATATTACGCGTATTCGACGTAAGTATCGTGCCTCGTGGTTTCATTCGTCAGAAGTGAAGACATTTTGACTTGTTTTACATCTGATATATCTTGTCTCGGGGTAAATGCAACGGTCACGTCTAAAAATATTGAACTAGCACGTTGCACTGATTGGCAAACTACTTGGGTACAGTGCGTTGCAAAATTGAATTGTAGCTGCGATCTGTCTTACGCGTAAACGGATCCAACAGACGCACGTGAGCACGATTCTATTCTATCCGACGAGCTAATAACTTCTGAAATCGTTTTAAATGCTAATTTTTTCAGGAGTAACGTTGGTTGTTCATAAAAAATCACTCGTAGCCTCGAGATTTTATGCAATCTTTTTAATCATTGCCTTTGTGAGGACTTTTCACCGTGCGCGAATAACATGCTGCGCGAACTCGCGAGACTGCTAACTAATACGCACGGTTCATCGCGAAGGAACGCAGTCGCCGTGAATAATTATTCCATTTCGCTGTAGAACAATTGCCGTTTGTACGTCTGAGCACTTTGCCTGCATTTCATTTCACCAATTAAAAAAAATCAATTAGATTGTTTGTTGCTTAAAACAAGATTACGTCGATAATAATTGTTTCTTTTATTGTCGGCGGTATTTCATGACATGTCAAATATTTCCAAGGAAAACGGCTATTCTGATTGGATTAACGGTGATTTTCAACAAGTTTTCTATCGGATCCAAACCCCGAAAGTGTGGGATACAATTTTCAATAATGAGTATTACATTTGCTTATTAACAATGAAACTTACATGTCTCCTTATTAAAGTGGAAAAAAGGTTGGAATTTCGACATAACGATCATAATGACAGCTTCGAAACTCAATATTATGCGAAGGAGCTTGATAGATAGGTAGATTTCAATTATTTTGAAAAAAAGGTGCAAAGTGATTATAGATGAATACCGAATATGAAAGGTCTGACAATCGAAATGATTGATAAAAAGAGCCGAATGTCGACACAGTGTCATTAGCCTAGGTATACTAGGCGCGATTAATGCGTGTGCAATTCCAGATCTGAAAGATTCACTTGATCTTAGGGATATGCTGTGGATATCTAGCGACACCGGTATGTTCTGTCCCGTATCTCACTGCGCCTGCGTTCGTATATGCACTGCAGCAGCTCTTGCGTGAACGGCGACTTATAACATCCGCGGCTATAAATCCGCATACCGGCAATGGAGGACAGAAGGTAGCTTTCCTGGCTTCTTTCTCTCGGCGCCTCTTTTTTTTTCCTCCTGCCGAGCAGCGTTAAATCGTTTTGAGAAATAAGTTTTGCGATTTAAGACTTGGCTTCTTCACTCGCAGCACCCAGTCTCACAGTTCCTGGAATTCAGATGTAGCGGCTTTATTTCCACTTTTGCCTTGTTATTCTTCGATTTTTGGATTTTTTCAATTTGGATGGCAGTGTCATTAACCTCTTCATTCCGAGCACTTTGATTTATACTTGTGCAAAAAATATAAGCAGAGAGCATTTGAAGATACATTTATGGCGCTCGGTACCGGCATCGAATGCATTTTGTGCATGGGTGCATACCAGAGTCGCTGCGCGGTCACAGAACTCGTTTATTTTTTAATTGCGCGAGCACAAAAGAAATTAATTATCTTAGCGGTCGGAGTTTATCTCGGAGGAGCATCCTCCCTCTGCAATGGTTGTCGGAGCTCTTTGTCTCGATTGTCAAAGAAACGCCAATTGCCATCTGCGCTTGCAGATCAGATTATTAATTCTCAAATGTTTGCCAAGTTCCATTTCAAATTCTGATTGGCTCGGGTGCATTAGCATAACATTGAAGCCCGATGCGTTCGACATGGCATTGTTCGAAGCTTATGCACCGTGCGCTCTCATCTAATGGGCGAGTCAAACTTTACGACGTGAATGCGGCTATTTATTCACGCTAGCATCTGCATGATAACTTCACAGTCTCACTTCGCTACTTTCAATGTGCATTACTATTATGCGTTGAAAGGTACGGCTAGCATAAACGTTAGTGACTCGATTGAATAATTGCGCTATAAGTTACAGTGATACGTGAAAATACGGTGCTGCAGTTGAACAGCCTAATAAAAAAATTGGTTAAAATGTTGTGCAGTGAGCACCCTAATTGACTGAAAGAGCACCGCAAACAAATAAATACCGACTATACTCGCTTAAACAAACACTATGAAATTAGCTGCAAATCACTAGCTTCGATAATGACCGATCGCACCGATGACGCATGAAATTGCACTGGAAAGAGATTAATTGCCGAGCAATAAAATAAATAAAGCCAATTAATAACTAGTGGTTAGAGCGAGAAAGATCACTGCTTCAGTCTGTTGCAGCTCGCAAGTTCCGCGGATTCCGTAACTGGCTATAAAGATACATTGCGGCTGTATGGCACGTAATAATATCGACTCCCGCGAGCTTCGAGCCTCGTCGCCGTTCGAAACAAATGCCTTCGCGTTGCGATCATCCATCTCGCCTGATATTTCAACGTGGATTTTCCACGCCGACGATGGCTGTTATGGGGACAGTGATGGATTGGAGTGTAATCGTGCGTTATCTTCAGAGCAAACTTAAACCCGATACAATTCTTGATCCGACTGTTGCGATCGGTCTTTTGTGCTCGTCAATTTTTATTCCCGGCGTGACTTATCAGCGAATTCTGTTACGTAGGTAAGGTCTGTACGACTGGTTACTTATTACTTTCAGGACAGTTGATTCAAACTTGAGTTCTTAAAACGTTTCGAGTACATTTTCGACGACAGTCGGACTTTTTTTGCAGCCAATTTTCTCATCGAATGACAAATATCGAAAGGTCTTTGGAGACGTGAGTTAGCGAGCTGAGGCTCGTAAAACAACAGGCTGCATGAGTACGTGTCCGTCGATTTTCTCCAAGATGTCTCCCCTCTCCCTGCCCCCTGTCTCACTGGTTTTGCATGAAATACGATAATCGTTGTATTATGATAATGCATCCCAGAGACTCGCCTCTTTCTCGTGCGGCGAGTCTCGCAAATTAGCATCGCGGGCGCGACCGTTTCTCTCTCTCTCTCTTCAACTTTAAGATTACGCGGAAGAGAGATGAAACCCGGAAATTCCATTGTCGCCTGCAGCTGCATCCGTTTTGCCGCAATTTACCAACTTGCAACTGCGCGAAAAATGAACGAGCTGAAAGAAAACTTGTCTGAACATTTAATTGCGCTGAAAGAACGTTCACGATCTGCATCCATTGCGTAACGTCAAATTGTTTACAGAACGAACCGATGGATTGCATGTTCGGCCAATTATCTAGGAATGTAAGCGAAACGAAAATGAGATCACTTTCACTGTTTGAAGCCTACGACAAATCTATTTAAGATAAGAACTGCATTAATTAACGGATCATTGATTAAAGTATATATTTCCTTGGGAATGTCTATGTGGTAGTAACACTGTCGAGTTTCACTTGAAACAGAACGATGAATTATGAGGTGGCTCGAAGTCGAGCAAGTACTTGTATGAAAAATTTGCTACAAGTTCTAGACTGCTAAGTGGAAAGTAGTGAAATAAGAAAGAAAGCGTGCGTAGACCAGGCGTTAGTTCCGAGGTTGTGCTCAAGACGTTCAATCGAAGAATTATGCCGAGATAATCAACGTGAGAATATCGAATGAGGTGGAAGCGAAGGCGATCGGTGTGCGAAGCGCGATTAAAATGAGCGTGGCGTAGAAATCGCCCGGACGAGCGATGCTGGCGAGCGCCTTGAAATTAGCGGAGCGCGCGCAGCTAGCCACGAGCGCGACTGGCAGCCCCGCGTCTTGGGCGAGCGAGCGCGAACGTGCGATGCAGGCGCAACGTCGGCGGACAGCCTCGAGTGCGCTCCCGAGTGGCAGCCCCGAGCGCCAAATGCTAATGAGCCTCGCTCATCTTCCTTTGCTTTTCCCGCGACAGCCTTTCCCGGCCGCGGGGACGGCCGCTTCTGGCGCATTGTGCAGCCAAATTAAATTGCCCGTTCTTCGTCGCGCCGTTTCGCGGCACACCTGTCCTCCGCCAGACAAACGATTATCGTTTTTTAGCTTGCTCGTCCTAGCGAGCAGCCGAGCGTTCGTGGGGTCGCGCGGAGGATGTGTCGCCTCCGCGAATTCAATTTTCGCGCGCAGCGCCAGCCGCGCGGCAACTGTGCGTCTCGAGCGAACCAGACGCACAATTGCGAGCTATAAATCATATCCGAGTGCGCTATTAGTCTTTTACCACCGAAATCCCATTAAAGTTCACCTCCGGGAAAAATCTCCGGTGGCTGGGTCCCGGCAAATCCTTGCTCTCCGTTTCACCGTCGAGGTCATCGTTCCGACAAATAGATCGATAAAACAGCTGGTCTTATGCCTGTTAAATTGCACTGCGATGCAGAGTCCGCGATTCCTCGGAGGCCTACGCAGGTCGAGAAGGTTTCCCTTCGAATATAGCTCGCGCCGAGAATAACCCTTTAAACGCGAAGAAGAAAAAAAGATTTGTAAACGCGTCGTTCCCAGGATGCACTCGTGCAGCAAGGGTCCGTTGTATAAATATTTAAAGGTGTCACTCTTGGGAAAGTTGGCACGCTCTTCAATAATTGAAAGCCGGGCGTCCACTCGCGGTGAATACCGCCGACGCGTTCCAGCGTTCCAGGCGGCAGACAAATGGACTCGCATTCATTGCGAAAAACAAGCCGCTCTCGCGTTTTCATTTGCAAGCCGCTATGCTTCTATTCTATCCACTTTTAAATTCCCTTTCTCGCGTTTCTGCCCGATCGCGCTCATGTCAATCGGCATCGAAATAATATCTGCTCGTTGGATTTCTGTTGCAGACGACAAGTATAAATGGAAAAATGGAAATCGAGAAGCTTTCTTTCGACAATCACACCGAGTGCGAATGCCGAGAAAGAAAGGATTCGAGCGGCAATTCGGAGTCCCGAGTGGCAAGGCACTACAATCCATCGGTTCCTGCACCTCAAAATATCTCGAGACCTCCGACGAAAAGGCCGTAAGTTATCGAAACAATTGTCATTGCTTGCGCTGTGCGTACACGGACCAAATCAATTGCAGGTGTCGGTGTCCAGCGCGGTTCAATGCCAGAATCACGACTGACGGGCTTTGCGAATGTAGTTGCCTTGAGAAAGACATGAACTGTACGAAATTGCAGCGCGGGAGGGGATTTCTGTCGCTCATGGACAGAGAGTAAGACACCTTATTATTTCAAGTCCAACTTTTCGTTGTCAAAATCATAATGAATATTAATGTTCGTCGTAGGTGTATCCAGCAAGCGCAGTGTAAGGCACCAAATTGCGAGTTCGGGACGTATAATGTCACGGCAGGCAAGTGTCCGTACAAAAGCGAGATCTTCAGTTCAACGCCAAATTACCGCTCGCATTACAATTATTACCAGCGGCGAAGTTAGACTGCCAAAATAATCGATTATCATTAATTATAATAATAATGATCCGCGCGTGCGTACGGATGGTGCCATTACATCTCTTGTCTATTTTGCTTTCCTTTTTCTTAACGTCTTCGTTTTTTCCTCGTTTCGTACTTTTCTTTTTTCTTCTTTTTTATTCTCTCAAAGAAACGTGGAACATGCTATTACGTATGTTATAACGAGATATGTTGATCAATGACGTTTGCAAAATATTTTTTTACCGTTTATCTTGTTTAGAAAGTGCAAATAATTATTTAGGTTAGTTATTAATGTAATTATGTAAAGGCCGCTGTGCTGAAACTTGGGTGCATTTACGCTATTTTAATATATTAGTAAAATTTACTTGGAAGCTTTTTCACGAACTTGACGTTACAGCCAATATTTATTGCTAATCCAATTTTCGTCACTTATAGATATTTGATATTGCATTCAAACGGTTCAATTTTTATAATGTACCCACTATTATCAACATTTACAGTGTTAGAATATACCTTTAAGAACTTACTTTAATCTTGAGTAACGCACAGGAGTCAGACTGACAAAAGAAAAATTCTTCTGTCAACTTATTGCACTTTTTAAAATTGTGCCCCGATAAAGTATACAATATAGTTACGAATATTTATAACCGTTCACACTATAGTCAATAACTTCTGCGTTTGCTTTTCTTTTACTTTATTTTCAAGCCAGTCGAATTGCTCGCGCTGAATATTTTGTATTATGATAATACAATTTTTATACTCGTGTCAATTTTAAGAAAAATTTGTATTATTGATGACATTCGAGTATATTACCAAACATACATCAGTGAATCTGATTCTGAAACATAGTTATTAGTGTTGCACAAAATGTATGATTTATACAATTTACTTTTACTAAAACGTTCTCTTTATATATTTAATAATACTTATTTGAATAGAAATATTCAAGTTATAAAATCATTTTTCATACAACTAAAAGTTCTTGCTAATCGATACGGTAGCTCAACAAATATTTACAGATCTGAATAACCGCGAATTTTTAACCGACTGTATGTATCAAAATAGTTTTAGATATCATAATAGCAAATTATGATTATAACAAGTTCTCGGATTCAAGCCTAGTCTGGGACCTTATTCCGACTCTACCTACAAACTGTCTTCCCATTTTACAACTGGATGTACATTCTGACGATGCTTGTTATAAATTAAGACTTAAATTTTCTGTCATAAATTGAAAGAATAAATGATTTACTTAAACTTGAAACTTTACAAATAACATCAAATAAAACAGAAAACATTGACAGTAGGTTAGGAGAAGGTCCTTGAAGTATCCATTTTTCTATTAATAACATGTATTTAAGCAAAAATTATATATTGTTGTCTGAAAAATTTCCGACCTGATCAAGATAATAATGATTTCGTTAATATATAGATATATTGGCAGTAAATTTAACTATATTTAAAAAGACCTGTCAAGTTTGAAGTTGATCGGTTGATTAGGAAACTATTTATAGCCTTTCGAAGTAAAAATATTTAACGCGTGATTTTCGATTTTAAATGCAGAAAAAATACAAATGCTGCAGATAAAAATAGTCGGCTTATAAATCACAAGTCTGATAATATCTTGATATTATTTTGATAAACACATTAATCAAACTATATCTATAAAATCATGCCGAGTTGAAAATTAATCAGTTATTTTGGAAAATTAACATGTAATCAAATGGAATAAAATATAAAAATATAATTTTTTTTGAAACACTAAAAACTTTCCTAATTAACCGATCAACTTCAAACTTGGCATGTTTTTCTAAATATAGTCTAATTTACTGCCAATATAGCCACATATTTACCAAATTATGTGTACTTTCATCAAGCCGGAAACTTTTCAGAGAACCCTCGTACGTAATCGTGAATATGTCATTGCATGTCCTTTATGTAAAAAGCTATTCATAATTACTGTTATAACAATCTATAATAAAACCTATACAGAACTTTCAACTAATGCACTAGTATGTTCTGCTTTTTTTCGTATAATTATTTAATTTTGTAATTCACGTTATTTTAAAAACGTAACTCAAAAAGTACTGTATGTATTTTACCTTTTTTAACAAATAATATTACGAGTATTTAAGAAAAAAATAAATAAAATAGATTTAAAATCCTCAAAGTACGTTGGAACATGTAGCAAGTAGTTGAAACATATAGAAAATTGGAACATGTAACAAATGTAAAAGTTAGTTTCAAACGTATTTTTCAATATTGTAATTATTAATTTTACGATATTGTAATTATCAAATTTAGTATGCAAAGCACTTTTGGAAATACCGAATGAAAAAAAAAGAATATTTACGTATAATTATAAAAGCGACATTATATGCAAATTTATCTTTTTATGTGAGCGTATGAAAAAAATTATTTAAATTAAATTCAGTAATTAATCAATTTGTAACATATAATTATTGTATTTTACAATTTATATTTAAGATTTTGCAAGAAAATATATAATAGCCATTGTCGTTGTGTAACTCGCTCGTTTAATTATGTTACCGTTACCCTAAAAATTAATTCTATTTCTTCGTTGCTCTTTTTGTTTATAAGTAAATTATATTCTATAAACAACAAAATAACATCCGCAATTCAATTGCAAACAATTTTGAATTAATCAATACATGCAAGAATTATTATTTAGACTATTATAATAAATACGAGATTATAATTATTACTACTCCATAACACATGAATATGTTATTATATTACGAATAGTTTGTAACTTATACATCAAGATATTTATTTTAAGAATTCATTTATTTATAGTACATTACGATACTAATATTACGATATTAATAATTTTGAAAAAGTAAGAGGGGTGCAATTAAAACGAGCAAGGGATCAATTTTTTTGCCTTGTTTCTTTGCAACAATATTTTTGCAAACTAGATTTCGATCATGTTGTATAGTTTTGTGCAAGATTTGAATCTCAAATATCTCTAAATGCCTTTTACCTTACTCAATTGAATCAATATTAAAACATCCTAATAATAAATATTGTAATTTCTCAACTAATTTTCTTAAAATTTGTTTTTATTCATTTGAATTTACGGGTCGATACTATTTTTCAGCAATATTCAATAATAATAATATTCCTATTATTAAATTTTCTTGTTTACCCATCTCATTCCTTATTCATTTATCTTCTTTTTCATACTTTCCTTCTTCCTTTTCTTTCTACCCAATTGAAGGAGAGGAAAAGCAACATATGTTAAAAACAATTTGTGTTGCTATCCACAGCTACATCTGCAAAAGAAAAATTTTAATTGGCTCAAATCACAGTTTAAAGTTGCGTGACTAGCAACGCAGAGCCATCTATAGGGCAGCCATACAAGGGTGTTTACTGTTTACACTGTTTAGTGTTTACTGTTTACAAAATGATTCTGAGACTTCCAAAATGACATGAATTCTGAATTCTGACAGTCATCTAAATATTGCAGAGGATATTTTGCAAATGAAAAGGTGTTTTGATAATATTTAGTATGACTATTTATTGTATTGTGTGCAAAAAAGAACCAATTCCTGGAGACAAAAGTCGCAGTTTTCATAAGTAAGTTTATAAGAAAAGTAGTAATAATAGTTTGATTTCAAGTGATGAGATCTGCTCCTTTATAGAACGTAAATATCTTACAAATTGAAATGTTATTTTTCAAAATATAATTTGCTCACCATAGGTTTCCTGATGATACTGTTTTGAAACAACAGTGGTTGACAGCAATTGGAAAATTTTCAAAGACTAAGCACACAAAACTTTGCAGTGATCATTTTGACAACAATGCATTTGTTCGCTCTAGTGGATACACACAGAAAAGACGGCTATTGCCAACTGCAGTTCCTTGCAAATTAGTCAATAGAAATAAAGTTGTAGTTGATAGTGAAAATATTAGTAGCAAAGTGATTGCAAAAGACCATACGCAATTTAATTCAGAAAATGAATTTTGTACAAAAAGTGATAATGTCGATGAAACTGATTTGTTTTCCCCAAGTCATAATGATGTATCTAAAAAGATAAAAAATGCATTTGTTGAAAATGAGCAACAATTTTGTAAACCAGCGAGTCATTTGCCTGTGCCAGTGGATTTAGATATTGAAACTGCTTTTTCTAATGAGAAATCTGTCACCGAGACAACAGAAGATCTTTCCTCCCATAGGTTTAGTCAACAACCGATATTCTTAGTGCCAATGTCAATAGAAAATGATATAAATCTTAATAGGCCAATATTTTTTTTATTTTATTTTATTTATTTAGCCTTGCATCTCCCTTAATGGATATTATCGACCATCACAGTTTATAACATTAATTGTGGTTGTCTACATATATTGTGTATATATGGAGATAGTACATATGTTTGTCTCTATAGATGTGATCTTAAATTAATGGAGTTTATAAATTCGATAACTTTGATACATATTTTTGGTTTACTTAACAATTTGTTCATTGGGAAGTTGATCAGCTTGTGTTTTATTCTGTCTTTGTTGAATTGAGAACAGTCTATTAGAATGTGTTTGACTGTCACTGGTATACTAGAATGCTCACATATGTTACTGTTGTTTTTATTTATAATGTGTTTGTGAGTTAGTTTGGTGTGATCAATGCAGAGACAAGTTATTAGAACTTGATCTGTTTTTTTCATCCTATTTGTTGGATTGCTATCAAAGACGTTGCTTTTAATTTTTAGTAGATTATTAGAAATGGTGTTTATTTCTACTGTATATTCTAGTCTTCGTTAATTTTGTTATTTGTTAATGTTCTGATATCTTCTTGGTTATAGTCTATATTTTTTTCTGGGAACTTTAGTTTAATAGGTAACTCCATTTGTTTGTCCAGGTTGTTTTGTCTCAGGAAATGATGTAAGAGAGATTATGATATTGTCATGGTGGGTGATCATTTTATGGATGATGTTGTGTATGTTTGTTCTTTTACATTTATTGGATTCTATTGATTCGATTAACTCTTGGTTGTCAGTGTGTATAATATATTTGGTGTTTAAGGTCGACGCTTTCCATTGTTTTGAGTATTAGAACTTCTAAGGCTAACTTCTAAGTATTAGAACTTCTAATTAGAATTTACGTAGTCAATTTTCGATCGGATAAGTGTTTGACACAGTATGGTCAGTATGTTTTGATTTGTACCCCAGTTTTTAGCTGCTATAGTTTAGGCAATAGAGCCCGAAAAAGAGCGTTTCACGTACTTTTTTCGGGACAGCACGAAATTTTTACCGTGGATAGCTGACAATGAGTGTAATAACATATTTTCATCCAAAGTCTGAAATCGGTGCAAAACATTATTAACCAGCTGTTTGAAAAAAAAAATTTTATCTATTTTCATGTTTTCGCGTAATATCTTTTTTACTAGCAGTTGAATCGAAAAATGGTCTAATGGTTTTTTGTTCGTCTTGACAAGACCTACAAAAGCATGTGTCGCACATTAATACATGTTAATTAGATAAAAGGTTATTAACACAAAAAGGCCAATTGTTTATTTAATAATTACCGTTAAATATTTGATCATAGAGATTTTCCATGTACCTCGTGTAGTTCTTATTACGTAAAGATTATAAGGTTTGAAGCCGCAAGCCCTACTGTTAATTGCAAGCTATACAGACGATTAACAACAAATTAACTGTTTCGTTTTGTCCACAGTCCGAATCGTTAAGCAAAGTGACGCCGATTTTTTTATCGGTACTTGTTAGAGTTTATAATCGAAAACCGCAATTTAAACAAAAAAAAAATTTAATTTACGACTCAGGGAATTTTTTCTAAAATATTGCTTCGTTGCAAAATGAAATTAACCGCGGATTATAAGACTTTTCTGGTGTTTTACAATGTATATCAGTAGATGGTCAAAAGAGCTTCAATTTGAAAAAAACCACATGAAAATTCGTCAACTAATAAAAAAGTTACAGTTAAATTTTTCGACCTGTTGTTAGAAGATTAATATAACAGAATCAATGATTTTTTCATTTGTGTGTTCCTTACATTGGGATATATCTCTATTTTGATAAACCTTGTAAGTGATTCTGTCTGAGGTGTATTGCTTGACGATCTGTGTAAGATTTTAAACATTTTTAGTGTTTTCTAATAAGCGTTTAAATTGATTGTAGTCAAGTAGAGAATCCGTTTGGTTTAAGCAATCCATTACATTCTTTAATTGTTCGTCTAGTTTGTCGTGTTGTTCTTTTTCTGAATTTTTAGTTTGATTTTTTGTCTGAGTTTCGTTGTTTTCAGTATCTGACTGTGTATCTTTTTGGAGTTTCTTAATGCATTTTTTGATTGTGATCAATTCTTGCGGAGCTTTGAAGTTTGTGGAGCTATGGTTAGACTCGCTAGAGCTAGTTATCGAGTGGGTGCGTTTATAGTCATTTGGTGAGTCGAATGGAATGCGTGTTACTTATTCATTTGTTGTGATATTTACCTGTGTATAAGCGGTAGGTTGGCATATTTCCATTTCATTTGTCTCGTCAACAGTTGGTGTGTTGTCTGGGGGTTATTTAATACTTGTGGCTGTGATTGCGTCGCGTTCGTTAGCTCGGGGGTTGGGCAGTTTTTTGCAATGTGACCCTCTTGTTTACAGATGAAGCATTTTAACTTGTTTGATCTAACAAATATATAATAGTCAAGCTCATTATAGTTAATTGTAAATAGGTCAGGTATATGATGTGCTTCTTCCTTTTTGATGTATACTTGTCGCCTGAACCTAGTTATATGCTTATATCCATCTTTATTTATCTTGACTCTGAGATTTGTAATAGATGAGCAGTTCTTAATGTTAAGCTGTTCAAGAACATTTTCTAGAGTAAAATTAAACATGTCAGTGGGTACATTTGAGAATATAATTCTCATGTGTCGTGAGATTAGTGGTCTCGTAGTAACAACTTTTTCGATGACAAGTAGGTTATTGTATTTGGACACAAAATCGTTGATTAGCTCTTTGTTTGTCAGATATATGCATACACGGTTATTTTAAATTCTTGAGGTACTTATTATATTCTGTAGATTTACTATGTCACCAACTGTACAAACATAATCGGTAAGACTGATGGCTTCAGCATAGTCTATCAGTAAACCTTGATCTCGTTTAACTAGATTCGTTTGAGCAGCAGCTGCATATCTTGAGTCTGTTGGGACTTTTACGATAAATGATGGTATTACGTGGTTTTTTTGCTCAACGGTGGAAGAGCCATTGTCTGAGTACAAATTACTCGTATTAACTCTCCAAAGACTTGGGCTGGATCTGCCCAACGTCTTGAAAAGATGTCGATACAGTTCACTTGTGAACTCACTTATAAATTCACTTATAAGCTCGATATTTACTTTCGGAGCGACACGTAAAAACGTCTACACGTTACGAGTCTTAGATCCGAACTGACCAATATTATTAACCTCTGTTTATTATCGCTCACTTTTTTCTGCATTGATTTGTAGGAGCATGCCACTTTGTGACATAAAAGGTGTTTTTCCTAATTTAGGTTGCAGTTAGATGATAAATGTCAGCCAAATAAAACACATGCAAATTTCAAAAAGGAACTATTATAAAATTAATTGTTAAATTCCCTAATGCTATGCTTTGTATTAATTCTGCGTAAATATGCATTTATATTGTAGGAGTCTGGAATACACTGATAAAACAAATATGTCGCCTAATAAAAGAATGTGTTTTTCTAAGCATTCTAAAGTTAACTCAAGTTTTGCAAACAATGAGGTAGAGTCTAATCATGCAGCTTTGAAAAGGTATAATTGTAGTTCCATTGTTTTTGTAATTATTTACAAATAAATTTCATGAACGCATGCGTATGATTTTTAGAAACCAGTCGTCATTCATTGATGTCTCAAATATTCCTCCTACTAAAAAGGTTCGATTTTATGATGGATCGCAGCCTCTGCATCTGTCCAGACAAGATTTTATATCACATGAAGCATGGACACGATTTTTAAAATTCTATATTTCTAAAAATAGACAATTAGAGTCATGTCGTAAGAAAGATGCAAGAAAAAATCGTAGTATTGGAAATATTAAGGAACTCGTAATGAAATTACAAAAAGGCAATTCCAATCAGCGTATAAAAAGTTGTTAATTAATAACATCAATGTAAATGTACCTCCTAGTGCAAATTGTTCATCTCAAAATAATACTTTAATAATTTCAGATACAATGTCAGATATTAATGATGTTATCGTTGATGAATCAAATGAAAAAGATAAGAATACAATAAAACGAGACGAGAGAAAAAAAAGAGTATCCGCAAAAATTAAAATTAAGAAAATGAAATCTTTCAATGTAGATTATTATTTACAATCAAATTTTAACCTAACTGAACATGATTATTCCAAAAAGGACTCGTGAGTATTTAAACGACATAATTAAATATACAGCAGAAGCTGTAGTTTACTTCATCATAACCAAAGTACATCGCGAAAATTGTAATTATGTGCCACTAATCAAACCTTCGTCTAAATCAAAACTATCAGTATTGAAAAACAGTGGTGGTTTATTATATGTTTCAGACGATGTTATTTTCATTTGTCACTTAACAGAAAAAATAATAAAACAAAATAAAAATACTCTATTTTCTTCGAATATTAATTTCAAGTTAGTTAAACAAGTTAAATTAAATCAAGTTAAGTTACAGAAACATTAAAAATATTATCTCCTTATGAATTTGACGATAAGAAACATTTTTTAGAACAAGAACCGTTATATGATCACCGCCAACAATTAATTTATATGGTTATCCAAAATTACGTTTATAAGCGCTTGAAACATGAAGGTGACAAAGTGAACGATCTAAAAAGTAGGATAAGAATGTTTTACAATAAATTAATTATTTTCAACGGTCAATAATGATCTTGATGCCAAATGAATTACCTGCTTTACATTGTTACTAGTAATTTATGCTATTTGACCAATCTAAAAATATTATTTAATAAAACATTTTATTACAAAAGTTAAACATGACTTAATGATTATTCGTTATTTGCCCGTTTCAGTCATAGTTCCTTTAACTTTAATGATATTAATTACAATCTTAAATAGACGTCGTTATATAGAATATAACATCCAGTAATCAATCAAATTAACAATTAATTGATTTAATTTAGTTAATCCTTACTTCAACATTAGTTAATACAACAAAGATAAGTGACATAAAATAATATTTTAAATAAAAAATAACTGACAACTGATTTACTTTGCGCGATAAAAAGAATGGTTAATACGCATGCTTTAGTAGACAAAGACCGCAATACCAAATTCATCATTTCTCTCTTTCTATTAATCGAACGTTCCCGCTTACCAGCACCAGCATTCCTTATAGGCATGCCTACTCAATCTGGAAAGTGGAAAGGTGCAGTATACTATGCGGGTGATCAGTCACAGATTGTTTCTGACACATTAAGAGATGAAAGACATCAATTCTGACACTCAACAAGACCAGTATGTACTGTAATAACTTCACCTTTCTATCAGCGCTTTTGGTTTGCGCGCGCAACTCACGTGAATTTAAATAGGAATTAAATGTGGTTCAGGTAACTTGGGAAAAGGAAAAGACAAAGTTTACTTTGAAAGAGGACTTCATTACCCGTAAGCCTCTGTGGGGTCGCAGACTTTTCCAAAATCTGCACCGCGCATATTCCTCAACCCTTCTCTTAGTTTTTCCGATAAATCGTAAATCAATATCTTAGTTGATTTACGATTTATTTTTTATGATGTCCGACAAGCGATCAGTTCATGGAGCACGTAGTGCAAACAGCCGAACCTTTTCGGCTGGGCCTTTTTTGTAGCAGGCCCGCGCGTGCACTTTTTTTCCATCAAATTTCCGCTTTCTCTTTTCCCTCTCCGACGAGTAAAAGCATTGAGTGTTCTCGGGAAAAGGAGAAGCAAAAGCCTGGCTAGGTGGTGCATCCATGCACCCCCGCGAATCACCAGAAGGACGCGACGTCTCGACGAGTGAGCATCGCTAACTCCTCGCCTCGCTACACTCACTTTGTACGCGCGCGCATACCTCGCGATACTCTGTAGTGCTCGCATGCGCATAGCACACTCATTTTTAACTCAACAATACAGTAATATTTATACAGTACCAGTGTGTTATAATAATTATTTTCAACGATCGCACCTAAACATCCATTATCTCTCCTTACGCCAAACCCAGATCCTAAACCTCTATATATAGGTAATTCTTAGCTATTTCGATTGACTTGTAACGGTATCTGGACAAAAAATCCGAACCGAAAAGTCTAGACCGAAAAGTCCAAAGTAATTAAAAGTCCAAAATAAAATTTTTTAATTTATTCTTAAAACAATAGAAACAATTTCCGGGTTGTGAATTTGTTTTTGTTTTTTTTTTCACTATTCATAACCTTCATATACATTTTGTCTAAATTTTCCGTAATGGCACTGACGACGTTGGAAATTATCCGAGTGGGTAATAAAATTTACGGGCATCTTGACAGCTTCTTGTATCAAGGGTCCGATTCCAAAGGCTGCGTGAAATATTGGAAGTGTCGGTACACCCCGCAGTGCCCAGCGCGTTTAACCACTGTAAATACCGGACGCAGTCTGATGGTACGTAAAGGTGGCTCACCAAGCTTGCACGTTGGACACGGAGCTGAGCCTGAAGAAGTTTCATCACTCCGCGTGATGTCAAATGTTACGCGTACTGCCCGGGAAAATCCGGAACGTCCGCCGTCGGCAGTTATACGAGAGGTACAAGAAGCCGACTTAGCCGTACAAGCTCGTCTCCCCAACAGCGACAACATTCGAAAACGAATACAGCGGGAACGTTTGCGACACTTACCTACAAATCCTACAAATATTCAAGATTTACAAGGTTATAATGCACTACAATGAAAATAATATTCTCGTTTCTTTTCTGACTTCATGCTTATATTTCAGAAATACCCGATGAGTTCACAAAGTCTTTAGCTGGTGAAAAATTCTTGTTGTATGATTCGTACGAAGATGACAATTACAATTTAGTTGGCTGTGGCAGAATTTTGGTATTCGCTACTCGTGAGAATTTAAATATTCTTTTTAAATCTGTTATTTGGTTTTTGGATGGAACGTTTCAAACGGTGCCCTCTATCTTTTTTCAATTATTTACTATAATGGGATCGGTAGTGCAAAAATACAGAGCGGAGCGTAAAATTGCTCTGCCCCTCGTCTACGCACTTATGGAAACTAAAAAAGAAGAGGCCTACTCGAAAGTACTCGAAGTAACTCTATCGCTCGCTGAAGCAGCAGGTATCCGAGTAAGACATCCTGTAACTGTTATAACAGATTTTGAAATGGCAATTATCAATGCTGTAAAGAAGCATTTCGAAGCAGATATTATAAGACTTTGTTTTTTTCATCTCTGTCAAAGCGTGTAGCAAAATTCAAGCAGAAGGTCTTCAGCAACAGTACGGCGATGAAAATGATCCGAGTATCCGTGAAGCTATATTTATTTAAACGCTCGCGCTTACTTTCTATTTTCTTATGCACGTAGTTTACTGCTCTTACTTCGCGTACCTCACGATACGTGACGTCGATTCGTTGTGACGAACGGACACGTCACCTTGCGTCTATAACATATGTTATATATATATGACAGGTATGAAATAAGGCGCAAGCGCAAACAGCATATGTACACCCGCGAGATTTATGAACGTCGATAATATAAGCGAAAACGTGTAAATGGTCACTTGAAAATGCAACGCTTAGTAAGAATATTCAAAGGGAAAAACAAACGAATAAAGAAAAATTTATTGCACTACAATCTTGACTACGGCATCTACTCGAGCGCGCCGACGTCTGCGCTACACATGTTGCTCACCTGGACAAATTGCGAGCGCAAGATTAGCATCGGAGCAAACAGCAGAAAAAAATGCTCTAATCCGGCAATAAAGGATGAAGCACGTAGGTCCGAACGTGCCGCGAAAACTTTTCCTTTTTACTGCACCCTTTCTTCGAGGCCTTTCTCGAAGAAAAGATGACGCCCACTTCATCAAATGATTGGATGCCGAAAAAACTCTCACTCTTCCCTCTCTTTGGAGGTGTTGATGCTAAACCTACCCCTTTGGGAGTGACAGAGGGGAGCGCCGAGGAGGACGCTCCAGGACAACGACAAGGCAGTCAGAGCAGAGCCCTCACGAGAGAAACTTGTTAAATTTTTCTTGTATTTTACGTCATTAAAAAGCAATTGGCAGTTTGAAGCATAACTGATCTCTGTTTTCATTTGAATTTTCCACGCTACCCAAATTATAAAGTCGGTCAATGAACGCTCTCATTCCTTATTTATCGAGTCACGTTCAAATTCATCACGCGCTTACAACTAAATACAGATTATTCATTGTTCGCGCCAACGGTAAGAGTGGGGTTATTACATCGTCACAGTACTGCGTAGCCATTTGTCCGCGTTTGTAGAGACTTTAAGGAGGCGCGCATTTTTAAATAAAGAAAATAAAAAATAATAAAACTCAATAATACGATTACTATATATGAAATTATTAATGTTAATATTAATTATAATATGACAATAGGCGCACAAATGGTTGCGCAGTACACACTGGTCTTGCTATGTCTAATAGTGTCCGAATTGATGTCTTTGAATATGTCAGAAACATTCTGTGAACACCCTTATAATAGTCATGTGTCAAAACTTAGGTCATTTTGGAAGTATCAGAATTATTCTGTAAACACCCTTATTCTTTCACTCCAGCGCTGACAATACATCACGTTGTTGTAATTGCTTTTGAATAAACATTAACTATCACCTTAGCACTTTAAAGTAGGTGAAAGTAAAGTATTAAGATTTTATTAAACATTTTCACTGAATCAAAATTTAAATATAGGCAGAAGTATTTATTTTATATCAAAGAAAGTTGAATAGGTTATTGTAATATTTATATTTTAAGTTTAATGTGAATTTTATAAATTTTTAGATGTGCCAAATTACATAACTTATATACAAGTATTTAAAATATATAAGTTATTTAAGAATTACTATAGAAATTGTAATCTTATAGATCAAGGAATATTAACTTTTATTATTATTACATAGAATCTTAAACTTACTCTGACCAAAACACTTATTATTATTATTATTATTATTTATTATTATTATTATTATTAAAATAATAATAATTATTATTATTAAAAATAATAATAATTATTATTATTTATTATTATTAAAAAATTTGTCAATCTATATTTCTTATTAACAATTTTGACATGCTGCTTGAGAGAGAAAAATCATTTGAATTTAAAATAAAATAATGTGAAATACGAATGGTTTATTACATTTATTGAAAATCAAAAATAGCTGGTTTGTATTTATTCTTTTTCAAGTTGCAGCAAAAAGAAAATTTATAACAATGCCTGGAACAAGGTGTACAGTTGCTGTATGTAACAATAGTTATGACAAAACTAAAAGGGCTGGTATAAAAATAAAATACCATAAATTTCCAACAGTTCAACCAGTTAGAGATATTTGGATTGAAAGAACTGGAAGAGGTGGTAAATGGAACCCAGATTCTTGCCATATCTGCTCAGCTCATTTTAAAGAAGATGATTACAGACAAGACTTATGTGATTTTCCAAACAAAGTTGATACAAAACGTTTGCGACCAACTGGTAAATAGATTTTTAATTCAAGACTAATTTATCAAATACATTTTTGTTTCTACCTTTCACTCAATTCAAGTTTATATCATATACCTAAAGTATTTATCATAGCATTTTATATCTTCATAAATTTATTTTATGAAACAATTGTTTAACTTGATAATTTCAATGTAATCTATATTACCATAATACATAGTTTTATTAACTTATTTGTAATCAATTTCATTTCAGCTGTACCATCTTTGTTTTTGACAGAACCTCCACCAATCAACATAACATTATTAACACCACGTAAGAGAAGAAAAATATCTTTGAGTGACAGAACACCTAGTTATTCAAATGAAGATAATATTATGTATTCACAAGACATCTTAAATCATACCGATGTAATAAGTGACTATTTTGATGATTTGACAGAAATTAACTCTCAATTAAACTTAGAAAATTTGCACTGTCTAGGGAAGTATCAAAGGAATGGTGACTTGAAATCAAACGAAGATACATGTTATTATCCATCTAAAAAACCTTGTATAGTAATGAAAAATATTGCTACAGAAACTAAACCTGATTATTTTTTAGATAATTATCAACATTTGATGGATGAAAATGAGAAACTTAAAAGTAAATTAATTAAGCTAAATCTTAAACATGAAAAACTTTTGTCGAATATGAAATTTTTAGTATCTGAAATAGAAAATTTAAAATTAAATAGAGTTATACATGAGCTTTAAAAATCTTAAAAATTTTTAATATAAGTTTCACATATTTAATAAATGAGAATAAAAGATTTTTCTGGACTAGTTGAAAAAATAATAACTGTTATACTAAAATTGATGAAACTCAATTTTGTCTTCTTTACATGACAAGACTGCTTAAAGATGTCAAAAGTTAATGTTAGTTTGTAAATATATGTAACTGCTTGTGTAAGTTATTATTTAGCTTTTAAATAGGACTAAATAAAGCTTGAAAACTTTATTTTATAATTTATTTTTTATTAAGATAGCTATAACTTGCAGTGCAAGTTACAAATATTTTTTATAATGTCTTTCTAAAAAAATAAAGAAATTTAAAAAAAAAAACTAGTATTCATTCATTTTAGTCTTGTAATTTTCTTCATTTCAGTTCAATTTCATACGTAGATGTAAAGTGTTGATATTATACTTACGAAATAAACCGTTTAGTGTAGATGTAGATCGGTCGACTGATCGTTTTTATTTAGAAAGAAGTGACTGAAATGTAAAGTATTTTTGTTTTAGAACTTTTCTATTATTGGTGAGTACCGATACATAAAAGATAATATAAATTAATACATATGAATAATGAAAATGTTAGCATTGATTAATAATTATAACAAACTTAAAGTTAACCTTAAATAAGTGTTTGTACATTTAGGCATCAAAAAAATAGTAAATTGTTTTGAAAGCATTTTAATGACATTGTGGAATAGAATAATTAAACGTTATTTTGGATCACTATGAATATAATTTAATTTTTATTTTATAAATTATAAATGTACATAATAGTTTTACTATACATAGTCACAACAGTAATCCATATTAATATTAATGTAATTAATACAATTCTTGCTGTATTAAAATTAATACATACCTAGCAATGCACCAGGTACCTCCTGTATCTCTGCAGCGTTACAAATAAACGTAGTTCTTGCAGTTACAATAACTAACAATAACAATTTAATATTATTTAATTTTAGGTAATTGTCAATCAGTAAATGTATTATATATAATTTTATGTAATTATTGATAAGTAAATATATTATTTCAGAATTTTCTCTCAAATTTCTTTAGAGATGGATACTGATCAAACAATCTCAGGACTGTTCAATAAAAATGAGCCCGAGAAATTAAACAAAGTATAATTTCATTGAGAAATTTTATTTTTATACTTTTCAATATGTTTATTAAAATAAGTATTTTATAGTTTTTGCATGAATGTATTGATCAGATATGTGGTTGTAAGGGACCACTGTATCAAAAGTATTGTAACTCAAGCTGGACCAAGGAAGAATTCAATGATTTTTATATACAAATACTAAAACTACTACATAATCCTAATAGTTTATATTGTGATATAGAAAAAGTTAGTATAAATATATGTCTATTTAAATGCTCTATGTTTTACAATTATTGTGTGTAATTATTTAATAAATAAATATCAATTTTGAAACTCATTACTAATTGAAATATTAACCATAATAAAACAGGATGTATTTAATGATTTTGAAATTTAGAATATAATAAATTCATAACTTTACAATAGAAATATTTCTATAATTTATTCCTTATCAAGTAATCTATATCTTAATTAAATTATAGCAATTTAACTTTTGCTTTCTTTCCTCATTCTGTAATAGAAAATATAACTACTCAAAATGTTTTAGATGTCATTAGAATTTCATGAACTGCCAAAGCACATACAAGATGCAATGATGACTTGTCTTAAAGTACGCAAAAGTGAATTAACTGATGCTCTATTATACCACTATTCATCCAAACATAAACCAACTTTATTAAACTATGATTGGAGTTTAAAGGTAATTTTGAACATCTTATGAATATTTTTTATAGTTACTCATAATAATATATTCATTTGCAGTATGTAATGGGCTCTAGTACAATGGTATCTATACGTGAGCCCCTTTTACAACTAAACTTAATTTGTAAAGACAAAAAAGAAGAGAATATTATTAAATTAGAACTCGATGAAAGTGAATTAAATATGTTAATTGAAACATTGGAAACAGTTGTAAGATAATGATTAAAATTATACTGTTATTATTATATAATTGTTAGACATTTTTTTATGGTGGTTCAAAAACAGGCGAATCCTCTACGGACCATGTGACGGAGCGATCGATCATCTCAAGCTGGGCTGCTATAGCTAACAGCCACGACATTGGAGTCGGCCTGACTGTTTAAACCTGCTTTGCTCTGATACGGCAGCAGGCCTGTCGTGGCAGGGAGAAGTAATAATATCCACCTTTGTCTATTCTCCAGCGGGGAACCGCGTTAGCATTACTTCCCACTGGTGAACTTGTGTCATATTCTTTTTATCGTCATATCCTTTGCCTCATCCTATTCATTCGATCTTTTATACGCATTCGCGCTCATTTGCACTCGTCATTCACTCGACTTCCAGATAGACATTATTCTACTTCAATTTAAAATCATTACAGTGCTAAACGAACAAAGGTTTTAAAAATTAATATAAACTTTATTATCAGATCAGTTTTATACACACACGCGCGCAAGCGAGCGCGCGCAAGTTTTTGATGCTATTGACGGGAAAGTCTATTGAACATTCTTATTGCACTCTAGGAAACTGCTGCTCTTTGGGACTATTAATTAGAGAATTTGTTTTACAAGATTTATGTAAAATAAATTTCATAAACACCCTTTCCAATAAAGAAATTGTGAATCCGATGATATTATTTACTACCGTTATTTTTGAATACATTAATATCGACTTTTCGTTCAAAATACACTATAAGCAGCTACATATGCATTATCACGTTTACATCTATTATATTTTATTGTTTTGTCCATCTTTAATTAATTTATTGCTGCGTTATTTATTATAAAATAAATATAACGCACGATATATCGATAATTATTGCCTTCTCGTCGTACGAATTCAATTTTCATATGACGAAATTGCGTATAACAGTGAGTTACTATAAGGTTACTATAAAGTTGGAAATCGAAATATATCAGAACCAATTATAAGTTCAAACTTGTAGCAAAAATTATAGATCTTATCTTTTGTAGAAAGCAATAAGTTGACAACATTCCATGTAAAATCCACAATGTCATCATTGCTCGAAAAAGTTTTGCAAACTCCTACGGCACGTTATACTATCCTATTCTTCAAAATGCATAAAATATCGTTCCAGTTGCTTTCATTTTTATTGTATTATGCATAATTAAAATACAGTGTGATTGATTGTACGAAGAATGAATCTTATTACTCCTTAAGAACAACGACTATCAACTAATTATGTTTGTATATATTTATTAATTTTCTTTCAACCACTTATTTAAAAATAACTTTGTAATGTTATTACATAAATCATCAAATACTATCATATTTTTCTGTACCTGGATAAAAGTTTAAATAAGATATTAAAAAAGATAAATTGAAAAATAATCGGTTATTATAAACGTGTGAATTTTTAATACTTTTGTTATTCCGCTTTTATTGAATCTTGATCGAATAATATTAAGGTATTTATATTTTAAAGTGCTAATTTTATTTCTCCTTAGCTGAGTTTTGGAAAATTACTTCAACGTCGTTGGTCAACTTTAAATAGTCCTTCTATCGTATCTAAAAGTACAAGTAGCTCATTGATCATTATTGGCTTTCCCAGACGGTGTCATACGATCGGTAAATTTATTTCTCGTACCATTTGCAACCAACGCTACCAGGATTCAACCAACAACGGATGTTTTGCTGAATTTCATTGTTATTAATCAAATGATAATTAAACATAACTGAAGAATTCGAAATTCAATCTATAGGGACTATTCAATGTTTTATATGTATTTGAAAATACCCCTAAATTAGAGAATTGATGAAAATTATTAGTATCAACGTTGTTGAAGAGAAAACTATAAGGAATTATCTTATTTATTGCAAGAGATAATCTTAAGCTATAATCTAGATTCGGATTAAAAAATCGGCTTTCCTTGCATTGGTAAGGGCTACTATAATCCAATTTATGCTGGGATTAGCAAAAACACCTCAGTAATGAAGCTTATATAGACATATATACACACTTAAGAATTAAAAATTTACTACATAATAGATATACAGTACGTTAGACTGTACGAAATAATTGCAATCCTTTCAATCAAATTAACAGTTTTATTTTTGATGAGCTACAGACTTTAAAAATGAGCGTTAGATAAATATTATTTGTTGTGATATTGAAAACGCTGCGGATGATTACGTCGAGTATGTTGGTGCACTCAAATGCAAAGATAACATTGCGTACTATATACGTCTCTGTTCCGGAGACTATAGAACTAATCGAATCTGATATTCCAGAACCGACCGAGTGATTAAAGGTGTGGTGTACGAATCTTCGAAGTATGGATTAAGACAACAGCCATTGGTTTTCGCATTGGACTGTCGACGCCTAATCGAATTTTCACAAGGTGTCAGTATGTAAGGAACGATGATTTTATTTACATGGTGAAATTTCTTCCCTATTGAATTTAATTGATTTACTGAGTTGCTCGTTTAGTTTGACGCATCAGCATCGCCACAGTAGCAAGTAATTGACGTAATAAAATAAAATATATCAGCAAGCACCCGCAAGATCTGCTGGCTTAGCAAGAGAGATATTGACATGGACTCAAATGAAGTGCCGGTAAGCGTGTCGAATAGATTTTGTTGATATGACGCTCAATTTTTTTCAATCGTTTCAACTAGAACCGCGCGAATAAATAATCCGTTCGAAGCGTTAGCTTTGTCAACATTGCTACGATATTATTTGCAGAGTACACCGTGGCAGGGCGTTTCTCAAGATGAGCCACCTTGCGAGCCACTGGATTTGAGGGTAGTTAAGAACGGAGACAACGAGGAGTGCAGACTATGCCCGCCAAGTCCTCAACGCAAGCGTTCCATTTTCTTCGATGCTCTGCACTTGAAAAATGTATCGAGGCCAGTTGCCGAAGTGAAGCCGTTCAGCTGGACGGCTCCGGTACCCGAAGATTTGTCCAGTATGAGCTCTGCCCAACTGTCCGCTCCTTCGCAGTCAATGAGTGTCACGGGTATCGTGGCTGCCGATTCAGGTATCCCAGCTCCGGTTGAGGAATCCAGAAGCAAAGCGGCTCTAAAGTTCTGTCTGAAAAAGTGCGGCGAGTTCAGTTTGTACTTTCGATCGAGCTCCAAAAAGATAGTCGCACCGAGCAACTGTCGCTTCCGAAGTCTGCTCACGAGCTTGAAAAACACCGTAAAGAGCCTAGCCAAGTCAGTGCCGTCGACGAACGTCATCAGTCGAATCCATAACTCCGTGATCGACAAGATCAAGGAAAAGCGGATGCAGGACTGCCTGAGATTCAGCTTGTCCTTCATCCCCTTCAACAAGCGTAAAAAAATCAAGGGCACGGGCAGCGCTGAGCCTGTACCGTTGGCAGCTGGGACGAAACCGAGCGAGACGACCTTCGTCAATCCCGTGAAAAAGCCCGAGCTTGCGCATATGGCTGGATTCCCATTCGCCAAGCCAAAATTTTACGTGTGCAGCTACTGCGACAGCCGATTCTACAAGCTGCCGATCTACATCAAGCACATAAGGAGGCACGCCGAGATCATTAGATGCGACATCTGCTGCAAAGCCTTCTCCTCGGTCATCAACAAGAGGCGCCATCAGCTCCAGTGCCGCCAGCGAGTTGCTCGATCAGTCAGGCGCCCGTCGTCCTTGCTGACTAGCTCGAATCTTAATTGAATGTCGCCAAGACATTTTAAGTATAACCCACATTCGGCATTGGCAATGAAAGCGCCGAAACGCGATAATGAAAACACGTAATGTACAAACACTTGCGTATGCGTACGTCTCAAAGTTAAACTGCATACGTTTATATACTCACGACATCCATGAATAATTTTATCCATTACGGAAACAGACCGCGAATCACTATTTTTTTCTTTTTACGATTACCTAAGTAAGGTACGTACAAGTTTTCTACACTTAGCTTCAAGATTTTGCGTAGAAACATATTTTAACAAGTTATGTCAACAGCGTTATCGTAGAAAGTTCGCTCACTTTTGAAAATACGCCTTCAAGCTATTTTTATAGCATTGTCTTATTTATTGAGAAACTATGCTTCTCCAAATGAAAAATATAAACCAATTATTGCGAAATGTTATTAGTGAGGATACTTTCTTCAATTGACCTTATGTTATTTTAATATTAAATTAGCATCATGCACCGACTAGGATACTTGCGTAGGGTCATTATGAAATCTACTCGGTATTCCCGCAATAGTAATTTTGTTATAAAAGCCGAAGCTAATATGAAATTAGAATTTATGAGCGTGTCTAAGTTTTTTACTAATAATAATCAATTTTTCTACATAAAAAAGCACGCAGATATTTCTTACACAATTCATTGCAAACGTCATAGTTAACATTTAAATCATGACTTAGTTCTTTTGTCTCATGAACTATATAATTAGTGTAATTAATAGTGCCGCGAAGAGGACTTCGTTATGTAGGTAGTTTTGCCTCCATCATGGATTATCTCAGCGTTCCCCCTTTCAATTTCACTATGTTAAATTGTTTTTATTTTAATTTTGTCAAATATTATAGCAGAATTACAGAACGCAAAATATATTTTTTCAAGACTAGTTATAGTGGTACTGTATAAATTTAGAATAAGATATCGTATGCCATCTAGACCTTATAAACCTAACTTTTGAATTCCATATGGGACGATTTATTATCTACCAATATACGTTTTACATTAGTTACAGCTAATTTTTTGTAGTGTAATTTATACAATTTTAAAGAATTTATTGTTCTTTATACTTCATATAAAAATGTATGAACAATAGGATTCCGTTCTAAATTTAATGGAAAGCTACATAATCAACATATAAATTTTTTATAGAATATCCCAGGGAAGCTGAAAATGTAATAAAATCTGAATTCGTACATTTCATTTTAATAATTGTGTACAAACGACATACAAAAGTCAAACAAAACACAAACAAAATTGTATAATTAACCCAAAAACTACAGTAACTCTGCTGTAACATTAATTCATCCATCCTTCTGATTGAGTTTGAAAAGGCCGTGAATTATCGAGATTATAATAGTAATTGTGTATATTATAATGCGGAGGATAAAAATGTTATTTGTTTTTTTAATAAATTCGTTATAGAACATGTGAAAGTTAATTTACTTTCAATATTTTGTAATCTTTTGTACTGTAAATCAAAATTAATAGCGCGTTATAAATTATTATAAGTAATAGCTAATTTTCAATAAAAAATGAAACAGAGCGAGGAGATAGAAAGACTGCCGTGCGCGGACTATGGTTAAAGCTATAAGTACTTGATCTCTGACTTGGTACCCCACACGACTCGGCGTTGCCCTAAAATTCGTGTCCGCCCGTAAAGTTGGATGCTTGAGTTTATGAGATTATCGAGTTGAAAGGCATGGCCATTACGATATACCGATCATTTAAACGAAAATACAAATAGCCCCAACACGTTGCGGATATTTTCGAGCGAGAAAGATCTTAAAGAGCTATGCCAAATATGATTTTCCACACTCAACATTGGTCGAATGTATACGAGACACGATTTAAAGCACGTTTGCCTTCCCAGTTTCTCCAATGTGAAGAGGTCATACTAGGCTGAAATACTTTCTCGTGCATGTATCTAACTTTATCTATCAATGCGAGATTTTAAGCATGCTCAATTCTTCGGGCCTACATAAAGCCGAGTTCAGAAAAGGATTGTAAGATGTGCAGGGAATCGTTTGAAGCGATAGTCTATATAGGAATCTGTCCTTACTTGGTCTGCAAGTCGAAAGTGAGCTTTAGAGTTTTAATGCGCCGCCAATCGCTAATTGAACACGCCAATCATCAACGAGCTAATCGTTGGCCTTTGTTAATATATTTTATCACTCTCACAATTCATCATCTAAATTAAAATTCCAATATTGAAAGCCAACCCTGCATAAAATCAATTGAAATAAAATCAACAACTCTGTATATCAGTTGTAATTTCGCAGTCATAACGAGCAGACGTGTGTCGCGATCTCTGTTTACATTAGCCTAGTGTAGTGTAGTGATATGTAAACGTCTCTACGTTGAGGTCTCAGTATACACTCGGAGTTACATTTTACTTTTGTGTGCTTTTCGCAGTTTTCCAAACTGCATAACTCTTTAGCAATGGCTTCCATAACAGGGGGCCTTGCGAAAAACTCAAGTTCTTCTACCCAAAAAGCTAACTTCCCATCCTACGCACAAACCATCTACCAACCAAAAAGCGAGCACGCCATTGTGATCGAAGCTATTGACGGTCTCTCTATCGATGATTATATTGATGGCCTCGAAAAACTAATCGATGTAAGCCTCATCAAATTCATGTCCAAAATCTCCGGCGGTCGTGTTTGTGTTTTTCTCACTTCAAAAGCATCTGTCGAAAGTCTTGATAATCAAAAAGTACAAGTTAAAGAACATAGTCTCAGTATCCGCCCTCTCATCGAAAAAAACAAACGAGTGGTGATCTCAAACGTCAATCCGGCTATTCCAAACCAAGTTATTATCGATGCGCTGACCGGAAAAGGCATACATCTTGTCTCGCAAGTTCAGTTCATCAGAGCAAGCACGAGCAAACCCGGCCGTGCTCATATTCTCTCGTTTCGTAGACAAGTGTACATCAAAGAAGGCGAAGAATCTCTCTTACCTCAATCGCTACCGATAAATTATAACAACACAAACTATTGGATATATTTCAGCACCGATTCTACCAGTTGCTTTGTTTGTAACCAGCCGGGGCACATAGCTAAGCAATGTCCGAAGAATTCCTCTTCTCCACCATCACCGCCTATGGGTACCCCCTCTTTAACACCGACTTCGACGTCGACGTCGGAGCATGGGGACTCTACTGATATGATGAACTATGCTAACCAATCAAGCGAATCGACAGATCCCGCTGCCCTAGTAAACACTACGAAAAGACCTCTGTCTCTCTCTAGTCAATCTTCTGCTTCTACGACGACTGTTCCCAAACAGAGCAGAAATTCAGCCAAGCCTACTCACTCTTCGAACCTAAATTCTAAAGAGCAGATCAAGCCTCCTGCAAAGAAAAAAATCAAAAACTCCTTTTCGCAAGATAACTCCTCTAGTGAGATGGAAGCCACTGATATCGACACTGCCCTAATAGAAATCAAGCAGGAAATCACATCCAACCCTTCCGCGTACTGTCTCGACTTTTCACAATACCAAAAGTTCCTTGTATATACGTACGGTAAAAGCAACATCAAAGAAATTGCGGAAACCTTCACCTCTGACCTCAAAGCTCTTCAAAAAATGGTCAGCGCTTCGGTGGAATTTATCACTGACGCTAAGCTCAAAGCTCGATGCAAAAGATTGTCTAAAAAATTGAGCCTATCGTGTAGAACTGACGACGAATCCGGAAGCGAATCTGAAAATTATAATTCATAATGGCGGAAATCATCTCTGAAGATCTAAAGATTGTTTTTTGGAATTGTCGTAGCATCAGAGCAAGAATAGAAGAAATCCCCAAGATTCTACAAAAGATCGACATTTTAGTGTGCGTTGAATCGTGGTTAAATGATCAAGACAAAGGTTTACATTTTCCCGGTTTTAAAACTATAAGGATAGACCGCATGCACAAAAAAGGCGGTGGCATCGTAATTTTTATCACAAATAATTTAGCTTATGTCCAGATCCATAACTTAGTCTATCCCAGTCAAGCGTTCGAACTACTAGCCTTTGAAATCACTAATATTACTCCTAAAATCGTTTGTCATACTTATTACAGAGCCCCGGGTTCCGATCATACGCAGAATGAGTGGAACACAATTTTTAATAACATTAATCCTAACCAAAAAACGATTGTGATGGGAGATTTCAATGCTCACCATACCTTTTGGAATTGTGGCGACAGTGATAACAATGGTGAATGTCTTTTTTTAGCTCATACCAATTCCGACACATTTCTGCATAACTTCGACTCTCACACTTATATTCGCAATAACTCTAACTATTTTTCCAATCTTGACTTAATCTTCTCATCAAATAATGTTGCTGATAAAATCAATGTCTTAGTAAACGACGAAACTTGGGGCTCCGACCATTTCCCGATATTCATCGACGTTCACATTAGTAAAAATACATATCGCAAAAAAACATTTAACGTAAAATCAACTCGCACTGACTGGGCTAAAGTTACTAGCTACCTTGATAACAACTACGTTCATTTTCTTAGTTACGATTTTGTAAATGCCGAACCAAATTACAAATACTCTACTTTCACTGACGTAGTAGCCAACGCTATTAAGACAAACACTCCGGTAAAGAGAGTCGTGAATAACAAAGTCCATAGGAACCCTGTGTCCTGGTGGGATTATGATTGCGACAAAGTCATAAGACTACGAAGAGCTGCCTTCAAAAAATGGCGTTTCTCCAAAAATCAGCTAGACTTTTTTGAATACAAAAAAGCCTCTGCTCTGGCCCGTAAGACGTTTAAGACAAAAAAAAGAGCCAATTTTCGAAATTTTGCTGAATCGCTCAACTTCAGCGTTAATCAAACATACATCTGGAATAAATCTAAACTTTTGAAAAATAAATGGATCAAAATCACTCCCAATAGCTCCCACGAAAACCACCAGAACTTCAGACTTATTAATGACTGTTTAGACCGCATCAGCCCTAGCTGGTGTGCAAACGATCCCAACAATTTGCCTAACTGCCAATCGAACCCCTTACTCGAATCTTTATTCAATTTTGCCGAATTCAACGCCTCACTTAGCAGTAAAAACACTCGCTCCTCTTGCGGTGTGGACGGCCTCGACTACGAAGCCATCCAACGACTTCCGCTCAAATACAAGCTTCTACTTGTCGACATTTTCAACGACATGTATCAAGCGAGCTCCTTTCCCGATGAGTGGAAAAAGTCTCACATTCATTTCATCAACAAGCCTAACGGTAAAGGCGTTAGACCCATTGCGCTTAGCTCCTGTCTCTGTAAAGTTTTCGAAACCATGCTCAAAAATAAATTACAATGGTGGGCTGAAACCAATGATATACTCCCTAGCTTTCAAACAGGCTTTAGAAAAGGACAATCCACCATCGATAATTTAATCGGCCTGACGCTTGAGGTCGAAGAAGCCTTCTCCGAGCACAAAGACGTTCTTGCAGCTTTCCTCGATATTGAAAGCGCATTCGATAATGTCAACATCGAAATCCTTCTTGATAAACTTGCCGCTGCCGGCTGCCCCCTGATCTTTATCAAATTCATTCAGCATCTTACATCCGATAGAATAATTCACGCGGAAGTTCTTGGCGAAAACACTCGAACAGTCAGCAAGGGCGTCCCGCAGGGAGGTGTGCTCAGCCCTATACTTTTTTGCATCTACATTGCCTCCGTATGTAATCATCTACCCAAAACAGTTAAAATTGCTAAATTCGCCGACGACATTGCGCTGTACTGCAAGCGTCGCCCTCTCTCCTCCAGCAAAAGATTACTTGAAAAATCCATTGATATTATCAACAATAATCTTTTCGAACTCGGTCTCGATCTGGCACCCCATAAAACGGAACTAATTCACTTTAACAAGTCAGGTGTTATACCTGGCGACACCTCCATACAAGTTAGAGATAATACTATTCACTCCTGTGAAACTGCCCGGTTTCTCGGCATCATTTTCGACTACCAACTCACCTTTAAACAGCATACTCGCTCTCTTATACAAAAGGCCCACAGGGCCAATAATATCATAAAATTTTTACGAGGCGTCTCATGGGGCTCAGACCCCGAAACACTACTCATCCTATATAAAAGCTATGTCCGCTCAACGATTGACTACGGCTGTTTTATTTATTATCCAAAAACTATGGAGCACAGCTCGGCTCTTGAAAAAGTCCAATACGCCGCCATAAGATTCGCCCTTGGCTACCGCATCAGTACTCCAACAAATATCCTTTTATCCGAATCTAAGTTGCCCTTTCTGGAAGAACGCGCATACTTTCTTTGCAGTAATTATATTAACAGTCATATCCAATCCGAGTTTATTAGCACATAAAAACATATCGCGGATTTTCAACAAAATTCAACATAGACAATGTAAGCTCAAAAATAGCAGACGATTACTTATCAAATGTATCAAAAACTCTAAATTTATAGATAATGCTATTTACACAAACAATCGCTATAATATCTATATGTACAATTATGACACACTCTTCAACCCAATTAATATTGACACTGAATTCGGCCTTGAGCTTAGTAAAGCTGCTAATATCAATGCTTTAATAGATAATAAAATTGCCAATAATGACGCTTATGCGATATTTACTGACGGGAGCAAAACACCTAATGGTTCCTCCGTAGGCGCTGCCATGATTTGTGAATTTTTCTCTGTTTCAACCGTCAACAGACTCGACAGTAGAGCCTCGATTTTCACGGCTGAATGTATAGCCATCAATGAAGCAACTAAATACGCTCTCAATCACGCCAATCGAAATGTAATCGTTTTCACTGACTCGCTGAGTGCGCTGCTATCCCTCAGAAATTTCCACTTAAGTGTTAAAGACAATCCATATATCTATGAAATTAGGCAAAATATCCTTGAATTTCAGATCAAAAGCACTAACAATAGTTCAGTTCATCTCGTATGGATTCCAGCGCACTCAGGGATTCAGGGAAATGAACGTGCTGACTGCCTGGCCAAAGAATCCACCCTGTCAAATCCTGACTCTGACCTTAAAATCCCCTTCACTGATCTGAAAATGTACCTTAAAAGCGCCGCTCGCACCAACACACTTGAAGTAATTTCTGAAGAAGGAGCCTATAAAGGAAAACATTACTTTCAGAATTTTCATAACGATAGAATTAAACCCTGGTTCTCCAAACTTAAAATTTCGCGTCATATTATTACCACCATTAACCGATGCAGATCCGGACACTATAATTTAAAATCATCCTTGTTTAAAATAAAAATTTGCAACAATACAATTTGTGAATGCGGTAATGAACTGCAAGATCTCGATCATATCCTTTGGCAATGCCCCTTGTACGATATGCACAGGATAAAATTCATCAACAATCTTAAACACTCCAGTATGCTCCTTCCTTCCTCAAGTACAGTGATATTAAGTAACAGTAATACCAAAATCGCACGTCATATTGTTAAGTTCCTCGACGACTGTAAATTAACTATCTAAACTGTAGCTCTATCGTGTATCTCATCAATATATTTATAAAGCGTATTATTTATTCTGTACACTACTCCGTATATTATACTACTCCCATGTAAATCTCGATGTAACTCTCTTTTTCAGCATTATAACCCTTCTTCTGGGTTGAAAATGCTCTAATAAATAAAAAAAAAAAAAACTCTGTATATCCTTCTTGTATATTAAACGTTTCGCTAAATATGTTTCCAGCCACTTCAGTACTTTATTATGGAAAACAAATTATACATTAAAAAAAGATTATAAATACAAAACCCATATCTATACTATCACAAAAACATTATCAGAAATATTACAATATTTTGGTAGAAAATATGAACACACTTAAACATATCAAATTATCTACGAAATTCATATTTTGTTTAAAATAACATTCTGAAGAGGCTGGAAATATGTCTAACGAAAAGGATACATTGAATTGTTAATTTAATTTCATTTGATTTTACGGAGGCTTGGCTCTTAATATTAGAATTTTAATTTAGAACTACCCTTTGTGTGTAAAATTGCTGCGATAGTCAAGTCGAATGCAGCCATTCTGATTATATATGCGAATTATTAAATCGCAGCTACAATAAGTGTTATTACATTGTGCGAAATATGCTTGGTTTTTTGAGCAAGAAAAACCTCGTGCTGTGCTGAATGTCAGACTATGAATTAAAAAATTTTTGATTAAAAAATAAAATTATATGTTAAATAAATTTCCTATGTTATTTTCAAAATATCAGCAAAACAAATTCTTACGTTATTGAAAGTAAAAACAAATTGTATATTATTATAACCATTATATTCAAATACACGACGAAATATATTGTAATAACTTAAATCAAATTAATTACCAATCGTATCGATAGATAAATGTAACATACATTGTTCTCACAAAAATATATTATCAAAATTTCAAATACAGATAACCATAAAGCATTCTATAACATATAATTTGTTAAATCGTAACAATTTGAAATTGAAAATTTATGTTATGCCAGTGGATTAGAATTATATCACATATTTGCAACTTCAGTTTTCTTTGCAATATGTATTTTTCCAATCAATAACATGGCACTCTTTGAGACTATAAGCGAGATTCATACAACGAGATTCATACAACGAGATTCATACAATAGTTGTATATATAAGAAACAATGGAAACTTTAGACCGTGCCTTTTGGATAAAAAATAGAGTTGAGGTTCTTCGAGGAATATATAAAATTGGTAAGCATGAACCATTTATTGAATACTACGTACTTAATAAGCCTCATTGTATTAATTTGCAATTCAGAATTAAAAAAACATGTGCTGATAAAAGTCTTCAATTACTCTTCTTATACAGAAATGTAAGTTTTATTCTTTCCGACCTAGTAGGTAAAATGAATCTTTGCTGTTAAAACTTTAAAATGGAAATATATATGGAAAAATATATGACCAATTTTCACATAATGTAGATTTAAACAAATTTTTGAGCTCATGTTTGAGATCGATAGATTTTGATATCCATTCCGAATCTCTCAGTCTCGATGATAATATAAATGTAGAATCTCTACTCGCATCTTCAAATAAACTGTTTAGTTACTGATGAATATAGAAATTAATCATATACTATTATTTATAGCGTAAGACTATAGATGTGTTTAAAAGCCGTTAAATCGCATCTTAAAATTAGTTTAACTCAATCTAAGGTGCGTGATAAGTAATAATTCTATTTGAGTACAGAGTAATTATTTCTTTGACATTTTGACGTAGAATCAATAAAATAAATTTTTCTTAAAACACTTACAAAACAAGAAATTAACTTCACAATATTCTTACCTAAAAACTAATAAGTGTGTACATACAAAATCAATATATTATCTTTGCTATGAATGGTTTTCCTTTTTAATTTCATACAAGAAAGAGAAACCATTTCGATACGTACGTTTTTTCATCCTAAAAATAGCACTACTGTAATTTAGCTTTATTTTTGAATCGATAAATAAAAAAAGTTAAAAACTTACATAATCTGCGTGGAATTGAAAAGTTCGTAAGAACATGAGTCTTTATAAAAACTCGCCACGGTATGATAACAGTAAAGTCTAAAAGTAAAGTACCTCGTGTACATGTAATTCGTTGTTTTATTGTTCGAGCTGTCAGGTGATTAGTTATAAAAACTTTTAATCGATTCATTATAAGTTAGTAGTTTGTAACAAATAATATAAAATTGTTGTTGATAATCAAAATAAAAATTCAAAAATCAATTGTTAAAATTCGTAAAAAATTTTAATAAATTTCCAAAAACTCGTTTTGCTAGTAATGTAACTGTCAATACATATTTCATTAGTGACATAACGACTTGCGCACAATTGTACACGGTTTTATTACGTACTCAAATTATTGTGCACCGTAACATAGCGTGAGAATTGATACACGCTGATTCACACTATATTACTACACACAAGAGATTAAGCTTCACTTTAAGAGATCATATAAACGTAGAAATGTGGTATGAAAACATTTTGTTTCTGTGTATAATTAAAAAAATTGTGCGCAATTGTCCGCGCACCGATATGCCTATCTATTCGTTAAAACTAATAGAGGAAAAACTAAATATGAAATAATAAAAGTAAGGAAATCATAATAAGGATTAGGAATAGTGCAATTAGCATAATAGTTGGATTGAAATAATACAACGTCGTACACTTGTTTCACAGTTTATTATAGGTTATAGATAAAGGTAGAATATTTTAGTTACTATTATAACTGCTGATCAAAGATACTGCGGACTGCGTTTATCGTTTTTGAAAATTTTCACTGGCGAATGCTGCGATTGGATGATTTTGGCTTTCGACGCTAAATTTGCATGCAATCTCTAATCATTTCGCTGGTTAAGAAAAATTCTCAAAGACGATATTACTCGTCCGTAACGGCGATAAAGGTGCGCAAATGAAAATAATTCGCTCTCGTCGCTGAGCTTTAAAATCGTCTCGAGAGGAAACGGTGAATTTCGTTGTAAATATTATTACAGACAATGTTTAAATTCCCATTACGAATAAGGTTTACTATACAATTTTTTAAATTTTAACTCCTCTTACTCTTACTTACTCGCGCGCTTTCTCTCTCTCTCACTTTTTCTCAATCTGACTCTCTCACTCTTGCATTCTCCTTTCTCTCGCTGGCTTGCCTTACTAATTAATAATATATCGATTTTAAAACCAATGCCGCTCTTGCGGACGTTTACGACCGCAGACTCTTCCACTTTCTTTCTTTTCTTCTCTCGCTCTCCAACACTTAGAATTTTATTATTTTTTTATATTCCAATTCAGATGGGGAGCATATACGTATAAAGCGTATATGCAATTTTATGGTTTTTTTTCTTTTTATCTCATTCTAATATTGTTAATTCATTTTTTATTTATTATATTGATCTCTACACTATGGCTTTAATGAAAAAGTTCCTCGTTAATGGTTATTTAGTTTCAAATATCACTTCACTTTAAGAGATCGTATAAACGTAGAAATGTGGTATGAAAACGTTTTGTTTCGGTTGGCAGTATTAAAATTTTTTCGCATTATTTTGTATTTTCATGCAGAATATTTATTTTGACTGTAAATCGACAATGCTTATCAAAAGGAGATTACGATGGACTTTTTATGTAAAAAGTGACAGATTCTTGTATTGATTTTTGATCTGTTGAATAGACGCTGAATTTACAGAAACGCATACCCTATTATCTAGATTATACATCACTTACACTGCTCGAGTTTATTCTATGTTTATCTAATTTTTTTTCTCATAAATGATGTGCATATGTTATAATGAATGATTTCGTGTACTCGCAGCATGTAGGCTCACTTTTTTATTGTTGTTTATTATGTTTCGCATGGAAGAGTTTGCACCTGCAGTCTTGTCATTGATTACACATTGAGTAAAAAAGTAGCGAAAACCGAAAATCGCAAAAGCAACGTTATAGTTTTTTTCGCCCACATATAAAATTTTCTATAGTTACCAAAAACGCATGCTTAAGAGTATATAATAATATACCATTGACATGTTCCCAATTGAGTCTTATTTCCGTGTTGTAATGGCTTATAGTATTTTGTTCATTGCGTTTATTCGAGCATACTTCGGTCGTATAGCTGTTGGCCATTGCCGCATCAAATTCTTAACCTTGCTTTCTCACTTTCGTACTAATCCATATATTCAAATTTAACATTCAAACGTACAATCACACACAAGCTATCTCGCGTCCGTCGATCCGTTTTGTTTGTTTGTTTTGTTTGTTTCAGTAAAAATCTTCGCCAATCAAATCTTGCCACATTTACTCTTTCTCGCTTTTTATCCATACTTCTCTGACAGTATGTAGTAAGTAGTGTAGTGTACGGGAGGCTGCCACCGTTTTCATCTTTTCCTCGTATTCGTGTCTTTTGTTCTCATGTTTTTTGAATAGGATTTTATTATGATTTTCATATGTGAGTATTCCCCGCAGAGTATACAATGATGAGCGACACATTTGCGATCGAAGGAAAAAAATGTCAAAGCGCTTCATCCTCTCTATCGCCAGTTGAACGCCGTACGCGATGTTGCTCTCTTTTCTTTTATTATTAATATTAATCTTAATAACAATTAATGACACTTTAAAATTTCTACACTGCAGGGCAATATCATCGTAACCTGCGGCTGGGCACGGCCCAGTATTAAAAAACTTTCTTGCTCGTATGTTCCCGCCTCGCGAAATAGATTATAAATCGGCAATGACTCTCGATTTGCAAAACCGGAAAAGATTTTTGACGGCGCTCATCATACTTTGTCTTTCATTTTGTTTCAGTTAAATGTTTATCCTTTGAACGCTATATTATCTGCTTTCACGGGCTTTTCATTTATATGTTTCCTTTGAATTTGGCGCTCGTATGAATGATATAACTCGTTTAAAATAAATCGACCGAAGTCATGAAAAAATTCTCTTGTCCCGTCTACTCGCTTGCTGTCAAGTGCCGTAATATAATTAATTAATATAGGCCTACTATAAAAAGTCTGTATGCTCTCGCGATGTCGCGTTCTGCATTTAGTAGACATCGTCATCTCTTCATATTTTTATTTATTTATTTTTTTGCTGCTGCTCATAACGAAAGAACGTCATTTTCGGTTTTGTTGCAGGAATGGTCCAAATATACATATCTATATAATATACTTTTTTGGTTTTAACGAGAGAAAAAACTTTCTTCTTCCCAAAATGCAATTCAATTAGCGGCGCTTATTCGTTCAAGTTGTTTGCGTGGACTGCGTCAGCGACAATTTCCTGAAGCAAAAATAGTTTAAAATTAATATCGTTAAAAAACGGACGATATAATCTATTCGATCAGACATAACTTTACTTGTGAAAAATTATGGATACCGCACTTTCAATTTCTTTCACGCGATAAACTGTCGCGCCACAAATATAATTTCTATCGGATCGGAATTTTAAGTTAAGAATTTCGAGAGGCAAATGGTGAAATAAGAGGGTGACGGACTTACATTCACTCCAGCACTCTCAATAGTTTCATTAACAGCTGCAGCTACAGCTTTCTCGCTGATGTCAATTTCTTCAATAGCCTGAAAAATGAAGTTTATAGATGAACACACGTCAAATGCGTCGGCATACAGATGAATGATTTTTGTGTATTTTAATAATGTTATCAGATGGCCCCTCGCTCAATTGTCTTCACAGGCTCAAAATTTTAGAGGTCTCGAGGATTACCATTGTTCGTCGAACAATGATAAGCTGATGGCGATCATCATTTAAGTGTGTCTTCAAAGGGAATGTTTTTTTTTTCTTTTCTAAGATGGCTATGCGCGATATTTCTCGAAAACTGATGGGCCTTTATGTGTGTAAACTGTGCGGCATAGTATTGAAAGGAAAAAGTACCTTGGTCACTGAAGCAACGTCCTCGGTGATGGCAGGAGCAGGTTGGATCGTCTCAGCTGGCAAAGCGGTAGGAGCGGTCTTGGGTGCATCGTCAGCGATGCCATTCTCCGTCACTTCGGTTTTAGGCATGTTGTTAGCAACGACGGCAGCGGCCTCGGGTTCCTGTAAGCGTTCGATACAGCAATCATTTACACGTTCTTCGAATGCTCCTTTCGCACTCTTACGTGCATGCAATTCACGATTATATTAACATCAACTATTCAATGTGTCTCGTGCCGTGGAACTATTTTGTTTTTTCTTTTTTCAATTCGGTACGGGCATCGAGACATTTCAATATTGTTTAGTTTTCATGTAACTGTACTTTCAATGGCTATGAGAGAGTCGTAGTGTTTACGGAAATAATGGTTCCATCAATTCTAATAATTTCTAAACAATTATATTTAGCCCGGAAAAAACTATGTTAGTTGTAAAACATCATGCCATGAATTTATAACCAATGAATATACTCGCTCTGAACAATGTAATGATGCGATTTATAATTGGTTAATCGCTTTTGTGGACTGAATAAAAAATGTTGATATATTCAATGTTGATTAATGATGTAATGACACATTGAACCCTGGCGAATGAAATCTGTGATTCACTCTCTCATTCCAAGTAAGTCAAACCAAGTAATAAGAAACGACAGTTAAATGGCTTATGCAAATTAGAATTCTGACGAGTTGATTGCAACTATTTTCAAAGTTCTAATTTCAATGATTTGCAATGGTTCGAACGAGACAGTTAGCATGCATACACAAACAATGCTAAATTACTATGTGTAAAATTCAATCCCGCTGCATGGTATCGTCTATCAGTGAGACTTTGTTTCGAGCTATTTATATTAGTAACAAAAATAAAGAACAGCAGTATTAATGGAATAAGGCGTGTCTAAAAGAATCCACAAGAGTTGTTGAGTTTTTAAAAGCATAAAATACTAAAAAACGCCCAATTTCATCAATATCGGTTGAATACCCAATTCAATGACTTATTAATAATAATTCATTGTGTTAATGATTACAAGTAAACCAAGAGGCAAAACAACACATGGAAAAACTTTTGGTGTTAGGATAGAGGAATGACAGGATGAACCGAGTCTTTTTAAGCATTCGTTTGTTAATATCCATGATCATAACGTCCGTAACAAAGAGTCAATAGAGGGAATGACAGGGCAGAAACAACATTACAAGACTTTTACAATGATTTTCTTTTCCGCAGAAATGTTGCAATATCCATTGGCTCTAAATTTGCCCACTAATAACACACCAATGTTTCAAAAATTTTCACTCAGATCTGTGAAAATTGTTCATTCATTAATATTATTTTTCTATCCACCATACACAATACAAACGTATCCCCAAAAGCAGGCGCGTGCATCTTATTGTTCATACTGGTGTTTGTAGCTTATTAAAATGTTGAAAATATCTGCCTTGAAGCCCTAGAATGTAGCTTATTTAGATATAAAGATGTCGATCAACTTCACTTATTGTCCCTCTTTTCATTTTTTTTTCTTATTTTGTTGTTCGGACATGTCGGTGCGTTAGTCGTAAAAATCTGTGTATAAAACTTCCGAGAGAAATCTAAGTATAAGGATCGGAATTGCTTTCAGGGATTTTGAAAAACTCAACTGGTTATCAACTGAAAAAACATGAAGCTGGATAGATTCTTTTTTTGTTAGATATTCTCAAGAGATAACAAGACTTAAATGTTATGTCCAATTTTAGTTACACAGAATAGCGATTGTAATGTAGAAATAGATAATTGTATTATTTTAGTCGAATTAAGTAATAATTTAGTTGTCGATAAACAGTGCTATTAAACATTTCCATAGTAGCAGAAATATAACTCTAAGAATCTACAAGAGCTTTTACAATCATGCAACTGCGTAAGTCAATTGCGCCTGAAACGGTAATAATAGCATACTCAGCCTTACAAATCGCTCGATTCAATTCAAGGTGTCGTATTGTCGATAATCATTCGAATGTGTACGTAAAAAGCTATGAAAAGTAATAGTGGAAAGCAGTCTTCTTTGCGCCATGTTTTGACTCAATCGATAACCACTTGTTTGATAATATAGAGAGAAAACGACTGGAGAAATTACAATGTCGCTTGAAGAGCAAGAGCAAAAAAAAAGAAAAAAAAGAAAAAAAAGAAAAAAAAGAAACGGGACTATCGCACAATCACAATATCGGAACTGTTCATTGACAAAGAGAGATATAGGTGACGCGCTTTGATCTACAAGTTCGCTTGACAAAAGATTTTTGTTGACATGGCTCAAAAATCGTCGTCGGGCTCGAGTGCGCGGATTTCAGTCTGTCTGAATAATCGATCGCATGCCAGGAGGATGTCGAAGTGTCGAGTTATTTTTTGTGTTGCGTTAGTCACCTGGACGCTCTGTTCATCCTCGTCCTGCTCGTCACCGTGATGATGGAAGCCGTTGAGCACCGGCTGCGCCAGCTCTTCTTCTTCTTCCTCTTCTTGTTCTTTCGTCGTCGTCGTCGTTGTCGTCGTCGTCGTTGTCGTCGTCGTCGGCGCTGTGGCCGTGCTGTCGCTGCCTTCGACGATATCGATCTCGTCGTCGACGACGACGGGGGCGGTTAGCTCCTCGTCGTCGTCCTCCTTGAGGAGGTCCTCCTGCGGGGGCAGCGGGTACTCGGCGGAGCCCTCGTCGGCGATCTCGCTAGCGTCGTTGGTGAGCTCTTGTGGCGAGGGCGGCGGCAGCAGGTCGAGCGAGTCGAGTTTGTCGGTGAGCTCGTCCTGCATGGTCGTGGCGGCGAAACTGGCGATTCTGGAGGTCTGCTCGAGCGGTGCCGGCGAGTCGGGCAACGGCGGCGGAATCTCTTCCTCTTCCCGTTCCGGCTGGACTTGCTCCTCCACGGCCGAGGCGGCCTCGGGCTCTGACTCGACTGCGGCGGGTTGCGACTCGGCCGCTTCGCGCTCGACGACGACGATCTCTTGCTCTACGCACGCGGGCTCTTCGCTAGGCGCCAGAGCGTCCGAGATGGCCGCTGCGGCGGCGGCGGCGGCGGCGGCGTCGGCAACGACCTGAGCCTGTTCCTCTTTCTGTTGCTGTTGCTGCTCGGGCAGCTTGAGGGCCTCGGCGAGTGCGCTGGCGGTGGGCGCGACCTGTTGGGCCTGCTGCAGGGGCGACGGATCGATCGGCGTCGGCGGGGGACTCGAGGGCGCGGGCGGCTTTGGGGCGGAAGTGGATAGTTCGGTGGTAACAGTGGGGAGGATAGCGTCCTCAGTGGTTTTCCTCTCAGTGATAGACGACGACTCAGTGGGAGCGCTTTCGTCCGCGGCGCCGGCTGTCTCACTGACCTCGATTTTCTTTTCGGCGACGGCTGCTGCTGCTGCTGCTGCTGCTGCTGCGGCGGCGGCGGCGGCGGCGACTGCGGCCGGGGCCTCTTCCTTCTTGGGCTCCTCCTTGGCCGGCTCCTCGTTGGCTGGAGCTACGGCTGCGTCCTCGGCGGCGGGCTTGGCTGCCTCCTCGGGCTTCTCCTCCGTGGGGCTGCTCACGGCGGACTTGTTCTCGGGGGTGGCTGCTGCTGTCGCTGCGGCCTCGGCCTCCTCGCCACCCTGCGACCCCACACAACAACGTTAACCAACCTTGCTCGTTTCGCAAATTCAAGGCCTAAACAAGACATCTCGCTCGATGATCATCCGCGAAGCTTTGACTTTTTCGTGGAACGCGGAAGATGGCATCGAGATTACCAGAGCGACGGTCAGGTTCGGGTTCAGAGAGCGAAGGCCACTAAACCAAGCTAGCTCTCGGCGGCTCGCGATATTGGGTTTCGTCCGCCGCGGCGAGCGATGCATTTTATTTTTAAATTTCTCTCGTCAAGAATTACGCGAGCGCGCGTGTTGTCTGCGTCGCGCTTGCATTGCCTGCGGACTCGTAACTGCGCAAAATACCGCGCGTCGGTCATACGATATCATGCGCAATCTTACACGTTTCGATTCCACGCGACACGACGCTTCGTCTCAACGATGCACTCGAAGCGTATCCGCGCGCATTATCGAACGCTCAATCGAGCATAAACACAGACTCGAAGTCAATTGTGCGTTGCGTTGCGCACTCGGGTGAAGAAGGTCGAGCGTTCGTATTCGGAAAACGTATCGAAGGTGCAGACTCGGTATTTCGAGCGATCGTCGCTTTGGCCATGCTCGTTGGGTACAGCCAGAAAGAATAAGCGAAACGATCGGTCGATTGGACGATTCGCGCTCCCTTGGCTTTCCGCCGCGAATGAGCAACGAGGAAACATCGATGTATATTGTTTCGAAACGAGGCTATGCGTTTCGTTGAGCGGATAAGAGGGACACGCGTGTAATCCGGGATGAAGGAGAGGGATACACTGCGGACGCAACCAATAAGTCGGCAGCTTTCGAATAAAAGCTGCTTGCAAGACGGATGACGGCCAGACGCAGACGACGCAGACGCGCGTAGGGTCGAGTGCAGCTCCGAAAGGGGGAGCAATTCTGCGAGCAGCAGCGGCAGCAGCAGGGGCTGACCTAGCGTGTCAGTGTGTCAGAGAGCTCTCCACTGGCTCTTTTTCCTTTTCTTTTTCCCGGCTTGCTCGCGCGCGACGAGCCGCGAAACGACGACGAATCGTCCCTCCCGGCGCGAGGCTGCGCCCACCGTTCCGTGAGCCCCTCGGGCTTATTGTGATCGATCGCGCGCCGATACTCTCCCGCTTTCTTGTTAATCGACGAACGAGAACGAGACACTCGAGGCGCGCCGTCCGCGCTTCCTCGCACCTCCTCCGACGCGGCCCGAACGACCGAACAATGCGATTCTTCCTCGCGCACTTTTCCATCGCGGTGAAAGGGCCCTGTGTACTCGTGGTAAGATGAGCCTGCGGCGCATGCCACGCTCGGCTACCTTTTCTCCCCCCCCCCCCTCCCTCGCTCGACGGTTGGCGGCTCTTCGCTCTTTCTGCGTCGGGCACCCCTCGTGGCTACGCGCCCACTGCCTATCGATCCTCGCTCTTCTCTAGCCGGCGAATTCGAACAAAGAGCCGGCCTTTCAATTTGCTGAATTAAACACACGCAAGCGCGCACACCGCCGAGCCAGAAGGCTTTTTCGCAATGTGTGCGTGAGAATATCGATCGACCGTACGCGCGTACACGGTGGCGTGGCTTCGACAAAAAAAAAAAAAAAAAAAAAAAAAAAAAAAAAAAAAAAAAAAAATCGGAGCTAACAATTAGTGGGACGCGGGTAGCACACACGTGGGGGACATAAAAGTCCCTGCTGAGGTTTACGCGTGTACGCACACTTTTGTCATCGAACACATATATTTTTGTAGCTGTTGGCCAGACTAAAGCTTTTTTCTTATTATTCAGACATTCGTATGTGGCGTAGTTCATATACGCTTATTTTAAAATATAGCCAAGTAAATGTGAGACGTCAGCGTCAACGAGCAACAATCTCTGTCGTGTTTGAACCCAATGCCCCAACTAACACAACCACACCAAGAAATTGCGCTTCAACCATTGGTCGCAAATCGATTATTCGCTAGAGCTCTTTCCGTTCGTGGGCTAAAACGCAGATTTTCAAGCAGCGATTCTCCAACGGCATATAAGTCGATCGTCCCTGGTGTCGACTGCGCCCAGATTCAGCGGACGGTGCCGCCCGATAAGAGACAAGCAGAAGCGCGCTCATTCGTTCAGCCCACTCGAACAATCCAAGTGCATTAGCGCTGCGAGGCGCAACGGTGTCGAGGGTGCATCGGAGCGCGACAGCGACTCGATAAACGCCCGCTACGTATCCATCGAGGTGCTCGCGGTCTCACGCGAATACGAGCTAGGGCGCCATTTTATTGAAAACATAACGCGCGGCATCGATCACTATCAACTTTGACAGACGAATCGCCCGATCCGTTTATCCGTTTGACACTCTCGCTTTGTCAGGATCACGGCAGTCGCGCGCGCGCAATTATTTATAAGCGCAGTGTGCATTAAGGGAAACCCGAACGTCTGGCGAGCAAGTCGAAGACCCCCCTCCCCCTTTCCAAGCTTCCACCGGCGGGTGAGCATTAAAAATGCATTAGGCTAATTTTCCGTAACCGAGCGCTGCTCTCCCTCGCACTCGACGGACGAAGGTCCCCAATCGTGAGTGGACGTGTACGTCTGTCTGTTGTGCACGAAGCACACGTCGAAGGGCAACCCGCCCATCGATCCCACGAGTCGCTGCTCCCCGACAATGCGATGATGATCGATCAACTCTCCGACGCGAGAACAAAAGGCCCAACGATTGCATTTTCAGAAAGATCTCGTGACTTTTCAGTTTTTCTTTCTCGGAAAACCTCGGCGAGTCTCGAGTGATCTCGAGAACGACTTCTCGAGTGACGGGGGCGCTCACTTTTTTTTCCAGCCAGAGAGACGAACAATCAAAGCGTTCTCTGATGGGGCGTTTGGGAAATGCTTCAAATGCCCCTACAGCTCTCTTATCTGGAAATAGAGTGTGACGGGAATCTAAATGGTAATTTCATTTTCTGTGTAATCACGATATATCTTGTGGGAGATTTTTCATTTAAGGGTGCAATAATGTCGAGGGCACTCTATGGAAATTACATTTTAAGTAAAATAATTTGACGCGCTGCGGATTAAAATTGTGGGCAGTTGATGCTCAGCAGCGAGCCATAAAATAATTTAAGCGCAGAGGTGATTATGACGAAGATTTTTCATAACGACGCCGGTTATATTTTCCTACTAAAAAGACAAATAAAACTGAAAATGCGCAAAAGTATTTAGTAGCCGAAATTGGAAAAAAAAGCGTTGAAACGAGTTGAAGCTTACGCAGAAGGAAAAACATCAGCATCTTAAGCTAAAATACTTTTGGAGAGTCGTTTAAACATCACGCATTGAATGACAATGTATGTAAAGCAGGAAGAGTGATTTGCTCGGTAATCGGTGGAGGCGCCTCTCGGAATTAGCATTCGCGCCCACGAGGGAGCGAGCAATCAAGCGAGTCTCGTGGCGCGAGTAAAGCTCTGAAAATTAATCGACGCCAACTCTTATAGGTATAACATCCTACTTCTATGCATCGCAGCTTGAGAAGACTACTTAACGTTTATGATTGTAATTGGCGACTGATGCAATTTCGTAGATATTTTTCAATGACGCAACGACGAGTCGAATTATGTAAGAGACGCGTGCGCAGCGACGGAGACAGAGCTTGAATTACTGATTGTTTACCGCGAAGATTTGCCAACATAAGTATCCGATGCATCCGATGATCCGAATGACTCGGCTTTATTAGCATCGCAAGATAGCCCATTACACTTGCTCGGAAACGAATTAAACTGCGCCACAGTTAGAAGGGAGGCGATAACGACGCGAAGCTTGCGCCTCGCTGTCGTCGAGCTCTTTGCGTCTTTATTTTTCTTTGCCGCGCAGGTCGCGCTGGCGACTATTTTTGTCGAGTGTCGACTTACTCTTGGCCACGTCAAGCTGTAGCCACAACGAGCTTATCGAGGGGCACCCATCGAACGGATTATTTATTGGCTTGATCGACGCCAGCTAAAAAGAAACCATTGGTTCTTCTACTGTTAGTCGAAGCCGCACAGCAACTTAACGAAAAAGAAAAAAAACACGTCAAACTGAAATAACAGTGCATGCAAATATAAGAAAGGTCAAGCTGGCGAATAATTTTCGGTGGTTCCAGCTTGGCGGACGTCTATTTATCCAAGGCGGAATCGCCGAAAAGCACGCGCTCAGTCTCTCGCGCAGGCAAGACTGGGTGCAGACCACTTGTCAATGTCAGAGTCGCAGAGTCCGAACGGAGGAGCGACATTCGCAAACGGATTGGAGCCACTGTCTAAGCACGATGGTTCATACAAATCACAGCAACTGGGTGAGAACACAACGACACCCAGCAGTCCCAACCGACAATTGGGGATTTGGAGATTACCGCTGGTTAATTTGGCGTGTCCGCCCGATTCGCTGCTCTCGGATATCGATCTCCGTTGTTTGCGACAAGTCGAAGGTCAGCCCGAGGTGGGAACGAGGCGACGAAGCTTAAACCTTTCACCTCACGCCAACAGCAACGCCCTTTCACGCGTCCAGCTGCCGCCCAGCTTAATTAGCGATTTAAAGTTGAACGGCCCGATAATCGCGCTTCGGAAACTGCTAATTGAGTTATCTCGAGAGAGACAGAAAGAGAGAGCGCTTTGTGCGCAGCGCGCGGCACACTGCCTCTAGTTTTCCACACGGTTGTCGACTTTGGTAAGCCGTGGCTAGTTCGATCTCCAGCAGCGAGCACAAACTGCCCGTTCAATTGTAAATTATTCCACTACCACTCATTCCAGCGACATAGATGCTGGAACTGTCGTTAGAATACGAAAAGCGAAAAAAACCCAGTTCATACTTGACGAAGGAGGGCAGGGAGGGGGAGAGGGGACGACTGTTGGCTTGTCGCAAACGCAATAAAACACGACAAGCCAAACAGAGCATCCATAGGGTTCGACGAGTTAGTGGAGACATTAAGAAGAAGATGAAAACAAGAGAGCCAAGGCAAGTTAAACGAAAGAACGGGGAGGGGGCGGGTTTGAAGGGATGAGCGGGGTACGTGCGATCGT